TGTCGATACTTCTTCAATACCGGCAACGTCAAACAAAAAGAAACGATCGTGCTTGGCGTCGTCAGCTTCCGCTTTATTCGGAGACAGTCTGCGACAGGGGAGGAAGTGGAAACTGCCAAAAAACAACTTAAAAACACGAGTTTTTTTTTCCCCGTTTACTAGGCGTTTTGGGTACTCCCGACTCGAGTTACTTCCTGTTCGGAACTGAGGGAGCTGCTACAGAACGCCCCCATTGGAAGCGTGGTAGAAGACTTTTTTCACACTTATACAAAAGCGAAAGTGACTTCAAAAGCAAGTAGGTGCATGTAACGCGTTAGGTATGTACAAGTCTGTCCTACTTCGTTTTAACCGCGCGACGGGTTTTTGTCGAACGGAAGAGGAGAGGGTTTTCGCGCGGACGTAACTACACGCGGAGCAGCATTCCCCCCCTTTCCCGTGGCCGCCGATGCGCTCGCCCGCTGACCTTCCAGCAGCGGGCCAGTCCACGCACACGGTCGGGGTGCGTCGGTTCGCCGTGGGTCGAGAGCGAAAAGCTCCGCGGTGTTCCCCGGCGGAAGCCTGTCCTCCTTCCCCTCCCCGTGAATCAATGAGCGATGGAGTCCGGACGTCACCTCGCCACCCGAAGGGAACCGGCGCGAGACGTGCTGTGGAGGCAAAAGGTCGAGTCGGCCGCACTACGCGACGCTGACGTTTACATGGATGCGACCGTGGCGCATCGAATCGAGCTGTGAGCAGTCACGCGCCCCCGATCCTCCTTTCCCTTGCCGTTCTACCCAATCATGGGCGGCAAATCTCGATTCGATTCGCTACGGACGCATCCATGTAAACGTAGCGCGTTTACATGAATGCGACTTAGTCGTATCGAATCCAGCTGTCGGATTCAATGCGGTCATGCATACGGCATATTGCGCTAGGGAAGCGCATCGCATTCAAGTCGCTAGACGAAGGTGGGTCGAGACGGCGAATGCGCATTCAGTCGGCCCATGTAAACGGAGGTCGCATCGCATTTTGGAACGGGGAGGATTATGAGAAGGCGCTGGCTGCGGGAGCGAGTGAATAGCTGAAAGAACATGGCGGCGGTTGTCCTCGTCGGCGGCGGCAGGGAGCGGTCCCGTGTGGTCGCAAGCAGTTTTCTTCAGAGTAGAAAGGTAGGCTTTCATTGCCATCATAAGCGAGTGGAATTTAGCTAACCTGCGTAACGAATTAGAACTACTCCATTACTTGTAACGGATTACTTCCCATCTCTGGTGTAAACATTGCCTTGTCGGCTTTCATTTGAAGGACGATTGGAGTCGATGTGCTGAAGTCGCGTCGATGTAAACGCGATTTAGGCTCCGCTTGGAGATATCTTGGCAAACTATATGGCCCACTTCATTGAATGAGGGAGACGGAGGTCGGAACGCGACAAAACTCCTGCTACCGCGCCCCAGGTGCACGGGCCGCTTGCCGTTGCCGACTGAGACATGAACGTATGACTCCCCTCACGCACGGGCTTCTTGTCATGTGAACATTTTAACGAGCCATTCGTGCTATCACAAACAGGTCGGCTCTCAAACCTGCATTATAGGAATGCGTGTCTGGGAGCGGAACCGAAGTGAAACGCGAGAGGTCGGTGCCTTGCAGGGGAGGGCTCATGACGCCAGGTCGATGGGTCCAGAAGTATGGAGCAGGAAGTCAGGAAACCTCCTCTCGCATTAGCGTGTGGAGCTGCTTTTGGAGGCGTTTGCGGTAAACTGGAGGGGCAAGGAGGGCAAGGACGAATTCACTCATCTATACTCATCGGGGAAGCTACGGCGGCCGCCGTGAACATCCCGGCGTAAACTGAGAAGGCGGTTTTTCTTGCTCCAGTCTCGGGGTATTTAGCACCATTATAAACAGATCGCCAGCACTGGCACTGCATTTTGGGATATCTTTTTTTAGTTTTTAGTCGGGAGTACTAAAGGCCGATGTACAGCCTCCTTTAGGGAAGACAACCCTAAAAGGCTCCCCTCTCCTAAGCTGCGAGGGGAACCAAGCCAACACCTCCTAGAAACTAAGGCCGTAGCGCTCTTCTCGTGACGTCGCAAAGGAAGGCCTTCAGGGGCACGCATCGAAGCGAAGGCAACGCCCGTGGATCGATCGTCGTAACGGGCTTTTAGTCACATACGCGTGTCTTATTAGCTAAAATGAAAGCTGCAGATTCCAACGGGTCTAGAAAACATTTTATTACACGGGAAAAACATTACACCGCGAAATAATCGGTACGAAGTGTCACGAGAATACGTATAAGACGTCTATAGAAAACTGTGATTGTTTTAAATGGAAAACATTAGGTCATGCGATTATTGCTGTAGGAATGCATATTTTATACAGATATACTTCGACAAAATGGCGAGACACGCGGTGATTGCACACAGCAAAACAGATCACAGTTAAAAATCAGGTAGACGTAGTCGACGCGGACACGGCTAGACATGTTTCACTTACGATCATGTAAGCGATGTTATCGCGTGCAGTCACTGAATTCTTGCATCATACCCAGGCCCCATGGCAAAATTAGTGTAATTTCGATCGAATGACATTATGGGGTCCACAAATCAGCTTGCGACGCTCGTATAATCATTCAAGACCGCGAGCTGATTAGATCCCATATCATTTCACAAAAATATATAAACTTTTTCGTGTGGCAGAGGTACTAAACTTACTATTTACAGTCAACTAATTTGTTTCTCCCTATCGGCCCCAGCTGCCTTAGAACAAAATATAACTTATTTTGTATAAAATAATACTATTACCTTAATAGAGTTAAGATTCTAGTATAAACGCGGTGAAGGCAAGAAAGGAGCATTAGTCCACATAAACATATCAGCAGGAACAACGCACTTTCAGTAATTACACAAACTTGTTATTCACCTTACAGTAATAACTAGAATATTGCCACGCATATTTAGACATGCCGACACAACAGCACACGGATAACAACGAAGAGCAGAATTCCACTCTATCACGAAATTAAAAAAAAAAAAAAAGACTGACTGCAGCACTTTGCGTCCTACATGACCAAGAAAGCCTGTAAATAAGTTGTTTCTCACCTGTCGATCGTATTCATACGTCCCGCATTATCCGCCACGAAAACATTTGAACACGAACTCCAAATAGTCTCTCTCTGTCGAGAGAAAGGGGTCTATCGATAATCGACCAGTGTCATAGTTGACTAGTTGCCACACATATCACTCAAACCGTAACAGGACTTGTTCCTCGAATCCACGTAAATGTCGCAATATCAAGCGAAAAAAAAAAATAAATAAATAAAACTGTTCGAGACTGCGGTGACGACAGAAAAACGAGGGGAAGAAGGAAAGAAATCTCATAAGAACCGCACACGACTGCAGCGGCAGCATTGTGGGACGAACCTTTAATAAAGTTTGTCAGACAGAGACAGAAGCTCAGCGTTGTCGACTTATCTCTCTCTCGTGTGCGCTCCCTACGGCGATGACTAGACTTTTTCCGTTCCCTTCCCTTCTGAAATGTCTCAGCGTTCCTTTTCCGACAGTCAGCAGCTCACACACAACGTAAATTTACCAGAATCGGAGCCCGCTTGAGGGAAGAAAATGTCACACGAGAGCCGGTTTGTTCGAAAGGTGTGGGGAGCTGCGGCAATGCATGTATACTCCCGCGGTTACGGGGATGTTCCTAAATAGAAATTCGGTACTTTCAACCTTGGTAACGCGTTGTATATTACGTTTATATTATATGTAGAATAAATAGTACAAGACTGGCAATTTTAAAACGTATATTAACGTCGGATAAAAGCTCGCGAACACCACCACACCGCTTGAAAAGAAACATTTTCTTTCACGTCGATACCAGATATTTTATCACGTAATTGCACCATGGCCTTCCTCCTCCGACATTGTGACGTAACCACATGGAGCGCTACCGCCTTCTTTCTGGGAGGTGTTGGCCAAGCTGGGGCAAGGTAAAAAGTGGAGAGGATAAAGGAAAGGAGGAGGCGGACAAAAGTGGAAAGCGCGAAGGGTACGTCGGCCTTCAAGGGGAAACACGTGCGTCTTTCTCTTGTCGTCATGTGACGGGGGATATTTTTAAGACGCCAACTTTGCATGGATGCTCGAGTCCATCTGAAACACAAAGGGGAGGTGCGATAAGCCGGCCTGCGAAGCGTGTCGCTGCTGAGATCAATTTTGCGGGTTAGGTTTCGTGGTGCTAACGCTGACTTTTCGACGGTTATTGCAAAATAATCGGGACCTCTCATGGTGGCAGCTGGTAAAGCCCGTTTTCTCTACTGACGTCTAACTCGTGGTTAGCACAGTTGGTAAAGTGCTCCACTGGAAATGGAGGGGTCCCTGGTTCGATACCAGGACCAGGCGGATTTTCTTTTCGGTCACGCAGCAGTCACTTAGCTGTGTTTGGAAATTTTTGTGTGTCCTTTGTCCCCCTTCTCCAAGGATATACATCGCCATACTTGTCCAGTTCGATTGCACCTTTGCATTATCGTCATAACCTTAAAATGCAGGCCGTTCACACACGTTGCTGTTAGACTAGTAGGAGCTGCAGGTAAAACCCGTTTGTTCTTAACGTCTAACTCCTGGTTAGTTCAGTTGGTTGAGCGCTCTACTGGAAATGGAGAGGTCCCTGGTTTGATACCAGGACCAGGCAAATTTTTTCGGTTGCGCCCCAGTTACCTAGCTGTGTTTGGAGATTTGGGTTTGTCGTTTGTACCTATTTGTTCCCGTTCTTCAGGGATAATTATTGTCATACTGGTCCAGCTCGCTTGGACCTTTGCATTAATTGCGTTATCATTCAAAAATAAGCGTTGTTTTGCTTTTTTTCTGTTTTCGACGCGTGAGTTGCGAGTCTTGAGGAGATGCTGGAATCAATACCAGGAGCAGGCGGATTGCACACCAGTCACCTAAAGGGTGCGAGTCGCATCCCATCTCACGTCGGAGTTAAATTATAATTGTTTAACACAAGTAATGCAAGCGAGTGATTGACAAATGTGCAAACAATAAAGTGTTAGACCGCAAAGCCTGGGATCATTTCAAGACTTATCAGTGTTTTTCCTCCGCAGATCGACATCCTGCACATGGACGACGTTCTCTGCGAAGGTTACTCGCTCATGGACGTGGCCTACATCTACGCCTGGAAGAGGGTGAGCCTTCAGCATAACGACGAACGCACTCCTGCCGAGTGTAAGCGAATTGAAGTTTTTGAGGACAGCTTTTCCTCATTTTGCGGTGTCCTCAACATGCTTCCATTATCCATTAACGCAGCTTCTGCATGCGATGAGGGTGTGGAGCGTAACGCAGTGATGCGCGTTCTTTCCGATGCCCAGTCGACGGCGTTACAGTTCTAAAAGATCGTGAACGGCGTGTAGGGTGATGATATGACATGACTCATCTTCCTTACTTACCAGAACGATTCGATCTACTGGTGTTCATCCCGTTGAACCCGGAGAAGGCTCTCATTGTTAGTTCGGTTGACAGGCTTTTAGACGCCGGGAAACACGACCACGATGGAGTCCCTGACGGAGGACGTGATCCGGGGTTCGCAGGATTCTCCCCTACGCCTCGCTTTCCGGGTGTACTCCCAACCTGCAAATCGACCTGCCTCGACGGACACGGCTGGGGGCCAGGCGGTCGTCGACGAGAGGCACTGCGACGGGAACCCGGCCGGACAACAACCGCAGTGTCCCCGGGAAGAGACGACGGCACCCGGTCCACCGGTGCCGGAGGAGTCTTCAGCGGGAGTGGAGGAAGGCGTCGCCCAGAGCGTCGCGAGTCCGGAATCGGACGCTGCAGGACCTCCCGCGACGCTGGTGCCGAGGGACACGCAGCCGCCAAATGGGGCTGCGGGCGCTGACACCCTGCCCGTCGTTCCCGCTGCGGAGACGCGCCTACCGGAGACACGGGACGCGTGAGTGCCCGAATTCCGAGAGGGGATCGGCGCTATGATCGGCGCTGTGATCGGCGCTGTGATCGGCCCTCCACGATTGGCCAAGCGCTCATTTTTAACGTCTTGAGTAGGGATATTTCTGCCCTCATCGACGGACAGAAGTGCAAAGTCAGTTTCTCATCTCTGACGGAACGTGATAACTAAACTTCCACCGCTTTTTCTTTTTTTTAATAGCTTTGGTTGTGACGTCGGGGATATGAACCGTAGGACGGCGGCACCGAAACATCCCGTTGTCCAATAGGCGGACTCCGTGCCCTGTACCGGATGAAGCAATTGACCGTTGGTTGAGGCCACTGACCACGTTCCGAATATTGGCACGCGAAGAACGCGGTCACGACGCGACGTGTGGACGGTGGTTAGTCCAGCTGGCACGTATACAGCGCGCACTCAATCTAAGACTGAAGGGTGGTCATGTCATCCGGCTCTAGGAAACTTCTCGGGTTTGATCAGGGTTGGTCGACACTGGCGGTCTTTGCACGTTTATTAAAATAAATATCGACTGAAACCATCGGGAAAGTATCATGACTGCTCGGAGAGTTGAGTCGGATTAGCCGCGCAAAAAGCATGATTGTTTCATCGAGGAACCGGTGGCATAGCGGTATAAATGGCATCGTCTGCGTTGTATGAAGAAGACGTGACTCTCCCGAACGACTATTTCCTCCTTTATATTCCTGTTCTTGCTAAGACTTGTGTTTGCGCATTGCGAGTTTATGCGTGTGGCCTTAGTCCCGAAAAATGATGCTGTGGCATAGATTTAGAATGTACTTACCGGGCATATTCGCGCAAAGGGAGGCAGGGATGTACAAGGTGTTCCCGAGAAACGAAAACCGTGTCTTTCGGTCCGGGTAAATCAACTATGCATCGCAGAAAGCTGAAACTCCGCGAAAACGTGACGCTAGCGGTTGGTATAGATCGTGAAAACAGAACTCGACATTGCGGACGCTTGTGAAATATATTTCACTGGAAAACATTTGTCAGCCAGAAAGAGGATATTGTTTTCGTTTTTGCTGAGGAGTGCTTCTAACTTAAATAGATGCTATAGGCACCCAGAATGTCATCTCTCGTTTTGACAACATTAGGCTTACGTGGGCGCGTGGTTCACAGTGCAATTTTGTTTTTCTTAATTTTCTTTCGATCCAGATCGCGTCATGTTCTCAAACTTCTGCGTTCTATTCCAAACTGCTAGCGTCACATTATCACGGACTTTAAACTTTCTGTGATTCATAATTTCTTTACCCGGCTCGAAAAACAAAGTTCTCTTTTCTCGGGGACCCCCTGGTCATTCTGAGTGCGCATGCGAAAGATTTCGCGCCTGTCATTCTGCATGCTCCTCGCAGGTCGATGGCGGCAGAGACGCCTGCTGGCTTCGGGAGTGCCCAGGCCGCGGAAACGGTCCTGTCCTCCTCCCCGCAGCAGGAACAGCGGCAGAAGGCGTCTGAGCCTCACGCCGAAAGTCCTCCCGCCCTGTCCAAGATTACCATCAGCACCCTGGACAGGAGCAGCAACAAGATCACCATCCAGACGAAGGAGGTGCCCCCGGCAGTGGCGCAGGCCATGTCCCCGCCCCGCTCCCCGCAGTCCAGGAAGTCCAGGCGCAAGGAGCAACGGGACGCCGAGCGGACGCTGCAGCATGCCAGACTCCAGGGACGGCCTCCAGACAGTCAGGGGCGCCCCTGGAGCCGCTCTCCGGAGCGACCGGACGGAGCGACGACGGCCAAGAACCGGAAGCTGGACGGCGCCGATTTCGCCGAGGTCGACGTCGCACGAGGCCGCGGCGAGACCCGCCCTGCTTCGCCCGGCAAACTGCCTCCCGAGTGCGCGTCGCTCCCGGAGCCGGCCAAAAAGAGCCAGAGTTCCACCGGGAACGGCTCGGAGGCCGGCAACCCCGGGCTGCCCGCTCCTCCACCCCAGGCCCACCCTCAAACCCCAAGGACCCCTCCCGCCGCCCCGCTCGCCTCGAGCGCCTCGAAAGGCGAGGAAGACACGCGGCCCCTCGACCTCTCGGTGTCCCACCGGGGCCTGCCGGCACCGGCGCCCGTACGCAGGCCTGTTGGGAGGCCTCCCCTCGTGCTGCCCACGGCGTGCCCATCGGGGACCGCCAAGGGGACCTCCTTGCCCTCCCCGTACCGCAGGGCGGCGGCGTCGTCCCCCGCGGTGTCGCTGTACCAGAAGCCGGCCGTGGCGGTCAGCCAAGCCGCCACGTCCTCGCCCCTGTCGCAGCAGCACCACCACCACCACAACCACCACCGGAGCGGCAGCAGGGGCTTCCTCAAGGGCGCCAACCTGACGTGCATCAACCCGGACCCGGACGCCTTTCACCCGCGCATCGTCATCAAGAACCTACAAACGCGCGCTTCCGGCGTACGCTTCAACAAGATGTGAGGCCGCTTCGCCGAGCCGCCCTTTCCCTCGAGGGGGACGGCGTGGCATGTACATTAGCGTTCGAACGTGAAGGTTTCAGTAGCGTAAGGCGGACGCGTAACGTCTCGAAGAGCGTTGCGCCAAGCTTGTACGCACATATCCCTTGACGCGCAATCGACTGCAGTCAATAGGGAATTGTAGTAGACCGTTTTTCTCCTGCGCTACGGTATCCCTGAAGAAAACGCCTCAGCTGCGCATGCGCGCCGCCAACCTTGTCTGCACAGTTCGAGGTCTTGTGGCGGATTACGGAGCGTTATCCGGGTGCTTAGCGGGCTGCGGAAACGGTCTACTACAATTCCCCAATAGCCAATAAGAACGCGCTATTTCCGCTAGCTGCTCACCAGTAGTACACGAAGGCCACGGCAACATGGCGGCGGCCGGCGACAGCGTCGAAGCAGCCGATCTCGAGAGGATCCCGCTGTTTTGTCGCTATTTCTATTCAACCCGAACCATGGCAGCCTCAGAAAAAAACGTGCCCCCGTAATCCCCCACCGCTCCCCAAATCGAAAGGGCAAGGTCCCGCATCCGAACTGATCCGAGCTGAGAACTGGATACGCCTCGCCGACGGGTGCCAGCGAGCACGTGATCACCCCCTTCGTTTCTCGGTTTCCGAACGGTCAACCGCGACGCAACGCTATGCAAAGTTTAGCACCGGTCTTGCTCCTATGCGTCGCGCTGATGGACGGTTCACGCGCTTCGCACCGTTAATAGCCGCTTTCGCCAACAAGGACGACGCCATTGCACACTCGAACGCGCTCAAACGCGAATGCGCGTATGGCCCTTTATATAATAGCGGGCGCCTCGTTTCTAGTCTCCTGCCGGGCGTCTCTCCTACTGGGCCCGTACGCGCAGCTGTCGCGCGAGACGGCGCCGTTTGTTTGTGCGTGCGAGTGGAATATGTGAGTGGATGGAAGCCGTCGTGGCGTCAGCTGGAAGACAACTGGATAAACACACTCCCTGCCGGTCGGATACATCCAGGTGCGTCGGCAGTGCGTGCTCCGTGTTCGCCGGCCGTTGTGTGCATTGTGCTCTCCCTCTCTCTCATCGTGACCCGCCGAGACCCTCTCTTGCCCCGCAATACGAAGCCAGTCTCCGAGGAATGCTTCGTGTGCGACCTCCCGTGTGGCGCCGAGAATCTCAGTGCGTGCGAATGTGCGACCTGTTGCGCGAGTGTCTTCCACACGAGGAATATCTGCACACCTGGATTACGCCACATTACCTCGGATTACGGCGTGCGGTCCTGGTGAAGCTCGACTGTGCTCTTGGGAAGGCTTCTTTCCCTGGTTCTTTCGAAGTGCTCTTTGTCGAAGAGCAGTTGCACTCTAAGCGTGAGACGGGCTGGGAACGGAACCTTCACGCCGAACGGCGCACTAACGCCCCTATACGTGTAGTAGCCGCGATGAGGCAAGATTGTGCAATATTGCCGATACGCATTAATCCTGTAGACCGAACAGTTTCCGAAAGGAGACACCACGCGTACGTTGTACATTGCTTACGTAGACCGCACTGCGTATATAGCTCATTTTACTAAAGTTGCGTCGAGGAAATGTTGAAAGTTAATGAATCCACGACGTCATTAGCTGCGCGTAGTCTGGTCGGATTTTTAATGGTGTTGTTATTTGCCTGAACAATAAAAGGCCTCTGAAATAACGTGATCACATGCACGAATTCACGCTGTGAACTCGAAAGATATATAGGAATGATAGATCAGGGTCGGGGATGCGTCCCTGTCCAGCCATCGGCGTTGTTCCGCGCTCGGCAATACTCGCCGCTCTCCCCCACAACGCAGGAGAAGGTAAGGACAAGCGACAGTAAGCGCAGCGCGTTTCTAGAAAGATGGGGGCCCCCTTATGTTTGAAACTGGCAACTGATTGCAATTGTTTCTGAGAAAATGTACCGACCGTTTGCGGTGATGAGACAGAGCATTGGCATAGCTCAGGCCTCATAAATAGCAGAATCTGTCTCCGAGGAACTAATGCTAACCGAACATTTTGTTTGCAGTTTAACATTACACAAACATCCAACGCTTTGTGACGTCTTGCTTAATGTACACCAAAGAGCGAAATCTGAAAAGGTGATACCCGGAGAAAGTGCTCTGCGTTGGATTCCACCTGCATTCAACTTTCACATAAGCGGTTTGTGTGAGAGTTCAGTGCAGGTGGAATTCAATGTAGAGCACTTTCTCTTAGATAATACACAGATAAATAATAGATGAGCACGCATTTTATATTATTATATGAACTTCCGCGTTTTTGGCCGAACAGTTGCTCTTTTTCCTTTTTGGTATCTATAATGATTCCCCCAAAAATAGGCATATATTAACTAGATGTGTTGCCTGAAAAGTTGCACCAAACAAAGCATACGTTAGACAAAGGTAAGTGGTATTCGAAACTAACATTTTCACGTAACACCATAATATGTCCAGCGAGAACTATAGCACTATGGAACAAATTATACAGAGGAACGTATGCAAGTACAAGTATTTCACTTAGATTTCGCGCAAGACACTAGCAAGAACGGGTCCTGAAGGTTAGCCGTTCATTTCTGCAAATGCAATTAATTGCTTTCAACAGCGAACAAAAACCGAACGGAAGTTTACCTTTTGTGTTGAACCTGACTTCCTGGTATACGCTCGGCTGCGAAATGGCGTCGTTGTGGGGCAGGAGATATCAAACAAACCTGCCCAATTATGTAGGTGTGAGAACACGAAGCGCGTGTCTTGCTATGACATTGTATCGGGAGGAAAGCTTGGTGATCTTAGAAAAACAAAGTGCACATTAAAGTAGCGCAAATGAGGCAACGGCGTAAAAATAAGGCGCACAAATGACAAGGAGTGGCGCAAACTTCTAACTGGTTTTATTGCTATACCAATATACCTTTTCCCGAATCGAAGTGTCCCTGGTGGCACGGTGGCACGAAATGAATTCTGGGTAGTAGGTGGCCACTCAGTTTTGGTTTCAGTTTCAAACTTTGTCTGATCGTGTCGTGAAAAAAAAAAAATTGTGTTGTGTTTATACAGCCTAGAACTTGGTCTGCCTCACAGGGGCGACGAGCCTCCCAGCTGTAGATGAGCAATTTAGCCAGTGCAGTACAGCCGCTAGCCTGGGGTCTTTAACGTGCACCACGCAGTAGTGATACACGACCGCACGCCGGTACGATGCTCATCCAGATCGAAACGGGCAGGGGTGGGGCTCGAACCCAAGATCCCTGGGTTCTGCAGCGCGAGCTTTCGCTCCAAGTGCTCCGAGCTGGTGTGCGCTAGACCACTCGGCCACCGATTCCCCCGATCGTGTCGTGACGGAACACGCTGCTTGCGTTTCCATTGCTGCGGCTTCCTACAAGTGTACAATACTGTAGGCGTAGCCGAAAGATACCAAACAAAAAAAAAAACTTTGTTTTTGTGGTTCCCAATGGGGCCGGATTTCGGGCAAAGGTAAGCAAATGTAGAACGATGAATTGCAACATCCCTGCTGGTCCCCCTGTCGTGCAAGCTCGTTCGCATGCGCGTGGAGTTATGCAGGCTTGGTGGTTCACGTGCTTGGTCGCAGGTGTACAGACGGTGGCTGTGATCGAAACCGAGACCATGCCCCGCCGTTCCGTGGTTAACTGGTTCTCCTCTTGCAACGCGCGAAGCGTTGCATGGAGGCATTTTTGAAAGTGGCCTATTCAAGCACGTGATATTACAAACCAACACGTATCGTATTTTCCGGACTAAAGTCCGCGGATTATACATGTTTAAAAGTTGAAATTTTACCCGGTGCGGACTATCTACAAGTGCGGACAATACAATGTTTTGTATTTTTCTAGCTCGTTCTAGAGCTGTTACGTTTCCGGACAGCCCACCGAGACGGAGGCTATAGTGGGTCTGGCTGCGTTTATTGCATTTAGGTCGTAGAACGAAGAACCTCGAGCTGCTAGGCGCAGCCGCTTTTATCGGTTCAAAAATGGCAATACGCGCCGCTGACGCAGCAGGTTGAGGGCGACGCCCTCGCTAGCGTCGATAAGCGAGACCAAGAAACCAACAACATAATAACTCCAGCCCCCTCTAGGGTATAATCGAAAACCAAAGGTTGTCCCCATCCAGGCAGCACTTCAACATAGCGAAGACTAAGGAGACGCAAAAACTTTTATGAGTTACAGAGTATATTATTTGCAATTCATATATGATACAAGCGTTGTCAGGTACAGCAGGCATCTGTCAGAGTGTGCTATGTATGATAATGTTTACGTTCGGATTAGGGGAACTACGTGCGGACTGTGCGCCGCTTGCGGACTACGCACCGGGTGCGGACTATGTAAGCAAAAACTCATTTTTGACCCCGACTTCGTTCTTGCAAGCTATACGCCGGAAAATACGGTATATTGAAGCAAGATAAAATACGGTAAAAATAAGCCGCGCGACAACGAAATTATATACAACCATCTAGAAAAACAATTCTTTGTCATCAAGACATGGAAGGCGTGCTCACGCATGTCTTCACCTTTCCTGATAAGAGGATAGACTCGATCGGTCTGATAAATTGAGAGAGTACAGAATGGTGCCTCGTGCACATTATTTGTGCGTGATGATTTGCTGTGCTTGGTTGTGGCTTTGGGAAGTTTCAAATACCGATCGTTGGGATGACCGGAAGTGGCCGTAGGCGCTGGGCCATAAAACGCCGAGCTGCTCCTTTGTATTGAAGCGCGGCTTCGTACGTCCTCCTCGCTACGAGCCGTCCGAGCGTTACCAGCTGCCGGTGCCAAGCTGGGGCCGAGAACGTACCACGTGCCATTCGGTCGTACTGCGAACGGGACCCAGTGCGAAAAACAAACATGCAACGGTATGTATGTTTTGAAAAGGTTCGAACAAGAATGGGTCGAAATGCGAATGGCACGTTTCGAGATACATCCCTTTCTGATGCGTTGCACGCACAACACAGTCATGTGCTTTCTGGGTCTGGCTGGGAGCGGAGCGTCTGGGGGCAGTGTTGCCAATTCGTCCGTTTTCCCGCAAGATTCGGCGGTTTTCTGAGCTGTCTGAAGGAAATTGCCGTTTTGCGGGTGGCGGGATTTCTAGACGTTTTCAAATCATGTTAGCGGTGTTTTTTGTTTTTCTGACGGTCTTAATGTTTGTGACAAATTAAAGTCACAGGGTTATCCTCTTTGCTTATTCCCACCAAAATTGTCGTCAGTGAGAGTAACGCTTTCTACGCCATTGAT